ATGCCTTGCTACCAAAATGTTTTGCTTGGCTGCGCTCTCTGTTCTTTACGCGTTTTCATAAGTTTACAGTTTTCTCTTTTAAAATGGAATATAGAACGTGAATTTGCGGAACCTATATGGTCCCGCAGAAACAAACGAGAGTGCTCGTTATGTTCTTTGCAATAAAATGTTTCGTGTGGCTGTGTTATCCGCACTTGGGCATTTTAATACTTAAGTGTCTTTTTAGTGGTAAATAGAACGTAAAATTACGGAACTTGTGTGGATCCCGCAGAAACGAACGACTGAAAGTGTTTGGTATGTTGTAAGCAACATCACCCGCAACGGACACGTAATTTTTGAAGGATAATTAAGTATCCTGCTTAATAGAGCATTTAAAGTAAAAGTTTTATGTAACCGGTCCCTGTACTCTAGCCAACTCAGTAGACAGCACTGAAGAGACTGACGGTTTCACTGTGAACCTGATAAAGCTCGCACTGTCAGACAAGCAGTGTGGGGACATTTAAAACTTATTGACTTATTTTCTACAGTCAACGATAAATGTGTTAGTCAAGTCAGACTAGGTCTCGAAGAAATTAACATGTTAAAAAAGGTTAAGAGTAAGAGATTAAAAGTAAGTTATATTAAACAACACCTAAAAAGCTGTGTAATCATGACAAATCAATGCTCCTTTCTAAGCCATTGCATCGACGGCCTGTTTTTATGATGTGCCAGTAAAATTCGAATTTCTTTTAGATACTAGGCGCTGGGAGCGACGTCCTTCTAAACGTTGGGGTTGGCCGATCCGTCGCCTATATCGTCAGCGGTTCAATCGTCGCCGATTTAGACCACTCGTACTGCAACCACAGCTACCGAGACCTACCCAGAGTGGTCCCCAACCCAGTAAAAAGCAAAACAAATCAAGACAGAAGCCTGGATATGTACGTAAGGAATTCGCCGAGACATGGCTATGGAGTGAGGAGTTGGTAAAGTAAGCAGGCGTATGATATACACGGGTTATTGCAAACAAAACCTTCATATCTGAATTTCCCTTTTTTAAAAAAGGTACCAAACAATGTTGATTGCAAAGGACTCTTCTTAAACAAGACACCAACTGTAGCATCGAGTAGCAGCATAAAAGGTAGCGTCTAAACTACAGTCTCGGACAAAATAAATGAAAAATATAGAATTCTTCCCCCGCCCTCCTCGATCAAAGATGGGAAAATGGCACGTTTTGCCCTTTGCACTGCTTCATCCTTGATTTCTGAAGAAAGAGGGGTTTGTTGTTCTTATTTCATTTTGTCCAAGGTAGTAAATCGCGTTATATTTAAGACGTGAAGACAGTTTTTGTGCCATTGGGCGAGAAGTGCATGGTCGCCTGCCTTATGTCCATCGTTCCGACCAACTGAAAACTTGAACAGGGTCGCATAAAGCATCTAAGTTTGTGGCACACCTAAGTATTGATTTGAAACGTATGGTATCGTATCGTATGGTACCGTTTTGTATCGTCTCGTATCGTGGAAGTTTCCGTTAATAAAGGTTAGAATGCGCCATATTGCTAATATTTTTCATTTAGAATATATCTCAATTTTCATTGGCTATAATTTCTCGGCATTGATCTTTATAACCAGCTAGCGCTGACCAGATATAGAAAATTTTTTCGAGTGATCTTACGTAACCTGTGAAAATAGGTAGTAGAATACTGCGTTCTATTATGCACTAACTCTAGCTGTTGTCTTCTTTTGTTTAGCTCTTGCTATTTTGCACTATTTGTTAGTACCTGTTTCACGATTCAAATATAAAGTCACTCTAATGTCTTACTATTGTCTTAAATCGTTTTAATAATTTGTGTCAATTTTTAAACTTCTGTAGCTGAAATGAGAGGTTTATAGTTCTCGAATGAGTAGTAATCGTTTTTCTTTACGGTGTCCATAGCCATTTCTCCGCGGAGATTTTGTTAAGAGCGCGGATGTTGGTGAAATTTTTGGTGTCTGCGGCGGTCTTGTACAGTTATTTGCAGCTGAAGTTCGACAGATCTAAAAATACTGAGAGAACGTTCATGTTCCACTTAGACATTTAGCAATTACTGACCTGTCGAGTTCTAGTTTCACCTTAAGTCGTATCATGTATTTAAAATAGCGATGGATTTAGTAGCTACTGAGGGATCACTATGTTACACAATCTTAAACATGTTATCACAGATTTATATCATCATTTATATGTTGTTTCATTTAATACATTTACGCATTTAAAAGTATAAGCCGGGCCAATTATTAAAACGGAGTTTAGCCAGTGTTTAACAAAACCGCGTTCTAAGCCATTTTCAGTTTGCCTAACGCTTTTATCTTAACACCATTTATCGTGAAAAGTTTCATGAAATCATAAGGCGTAGACTGGAAAAGCACTCATTGTCTTAAAATAACACACTAATGAAGAGATCTGGAGGTCCAAAGATTTGCTAAACCGCGGCTTAAGTTTGACTTGGTTTAAATAACCGATCGTAAATGTTTGACCTTCCTTTGGAATATTGAATTTAATCAAGAACTTAACCCAAGGGTAACTGAAGTGAGCAAATTTGTCTATAAATTACAAGGGTAAAAATTGTAGTAACTTATTTTGCAAGAATTCTAGTTTGACAATCGTTTAAAATTCCTGCAAATTTTATAGTACAGGGCTAAAGTTAACAGTAGAAGGTTCTTGAAACTTTATATGAAAACAAAGTGTGAAATTTTTAAAATATATAAAAAAAAGTTGACAAAGTTTGAACGCTGCATCACATAAGTATAAAGACAAATAAAGGGTTAAAATGAGTAACCAAAACTATGTAGACCAAATGTGTGAAAAAAAAAAATTATTAGAAAAAAATCGTCTCATACAATAATGAGGAGAATTTAAAGCTGTTAGTGAAGAAAAAGCCATCAAATCAAATATCAAATACCGCCTGGTATATTTGCAGGAGACGATTCCTGGTATGAGATGATATTTCATGAGCCACAAGTTCTTTAGTGTAAAATACATTCTAGTGTAATGGGTTGCAGATTCACCTTTCATGTCTGCGCCGCCTGGTGTATGGCCTAGCCCAAATTTTGCAGAAGAGCGGTCGAGTCTTGAAGCACCCACTGTCGTCAAAAACAAGAAGGGAGTTACTTAACAGAACGCTGTTAAAGTGCGTAAAGAGTTTCCAGAGACATCGCTATGAACAAAGGAGATAGTTAAGTAAGGCCTCAATTGGTTGTATGGTGTTAACATTAATACTTGACGTTAGTGCAGATGTCAATGAGGAACAGGGGTGTTTAATCAACATTAAAACACAAGGCACTTGATAAAACAGGAGGTGAACGTCTAAAAATATTGTGTTTTCTCTAGATTTGTTCATTCTTTTCCTTTTAAATTATCTTTCCTGAGAAAATTGAGCTAGAAACTTATAAACTTTTAGAAGATTTAAAAACACCTGAAATTTTAATTTACTTCTTGAATTATCAATGACTTTGTGGAATGCGCTGTAACTATTTGTTTTAGAGGCTTATAGATCAGTCGGGGTTTTTGTCGAGTGTTCAATTCCTCGCATAGCGGCTCTATAATCCTACCGCCCTTTTAGCCTCATGTCTTCTCTGGGTTGATTCGTCGGGAACGAGATGATATCGGAATCTATTTTAGAGCCGTATGTTTTTACAGACAACATGAAACTGTAATCTGGAAGAAGACTTTTCAAGTCACAGACCAGAGGTTAATTGTGTCCACGCAAAAGCTTAAAGACAAGATTACTTAGCATCGACTGGTATATACTCGCAGACCAGGTGTGGTTGAAATCTAGGCAACCTACGTACAAACAAGGCGATACTGATAAATTTTGAATGTGGTTAAGAATTAAGCCTAAAAGTAAAACTAAATTGAGTAAATTTCCCTTAAAATTGGGGAATTTTTGATAAAATGAACTCACTGTTTTTTGCAAGAGATCTAGTTCGAGAAACGTTTATTTAAAGTACTTTTCCTGTAAATAAAGCGGGTTGAAAACCCTAGTTTGGTTCTCTTAGTGAGTAACTGTTTCCATCAGATGCGCTGTATAAAGATTGGAAAATCACAGAAATATTCTGCGGCCTTAAGGCATGGTTGCGGATATAAGGGAGTCATCTTTTTCGGCTAACCTTGGTTGAAACGATACGCTTTATAGGCTACGATTTATCGGGCCGATTTTCCTTTTCTAAGGAAAGGCGCGAAATAAAAAAAATCGGGTCTAATTTGACGCCTATTTGATTTCAGAGATCTGTTGGAGTGCCACAGATTTTTGAAAGTCAGGCCGATTGTTTTCTAGTCATACGTTTTCTTTAAAAAAAACCGGGTGGAAAAATTGCAGCATGTGGTGAATCAGTGAAACCACTTTCATGCGGACCGTACTTTTCTGACGTGTCTCTAACATCAATTATTTGCATCGGCAAATAATTGCTCTACTTAACCACTAACAAATCACCATATTTGGCTCACCCTCGTTCAATAATTGTCGGATTGTACGCAGCTTTTTGGAACTTTTAGTTTCACTTGAACTTTGGTATCGCGCAATCTAGGTCGAGGTAATTGTTATCAGCCGAGCCGAAGACCGAGGCTAATAACACATACTAAGACCTTGATTATTCCGGATATCATAAGAACCAAATCTAATGATTGTTTTATTTTACATAATCTTGAATGCCAAACACACTGACATTTCTTTTGGAAATAATTTATTGAGTGTGCAACCTATCTCAGATCAGTCAGTAATCTGCCAGCAGATAACTAACTAATCTGTCAGGTGCGCTGATTGTAGGCTCTCAGCCAATGAGAAGACAGTTAGAGAGGAAAATGGATTATACTTGTCTATTATCACGCGTCTCAACATTGTGGTAATTTCAGAATTTTTAGCCAATTGAAAAATTTTAACAATCAAAACCATAAGTAGCGACGAAATTGATTACTTAAGGCATTCAATTGACAACTAAGCATCTATATTTTAATTGAATTACAGTGACGTGAATGGAAAAGCTGTGGTTATGGCCAAGGTTCCTGATACTATCACTAGCTGGATAGCAAGTGCATTTGCCATGTCCAATTCATCTGGTCTGGGAGTTTCCAAACCTGCCACACTGAAAGTATTCCAGTCATTCTTTGTTTCACTGACCCTCCCATACTCTGTTATCCGCGGCGAGGAAGTGTCCATTATAGCAACAGTCTTCAACTACGAAAGCAAATGTCTTACTGTAAGTAAAATACGAAACCTTTTTTAAAAAATTCGTAATGCTTTCTTGTTAAAAAGTTCATTTTTGTTTCACGCACCCTCCCATAATCTGTTATCCGCGAGGAGGAAGTCTCCATTATAGGCGAACCTTTGTTTACAATTTTTGCCTCATTAACATATGCTTATCACTATCTGATGACCCTAATAAAATAAAAACTCTGAATATTTAAAGGGCATAACAGTTTCAGTTATCGCTGAAAATTTGAGCTCAATACACCGAATGGTTTCGGAGAAATTCCCGTCTAAAAAGTCGAACTTTTACAGAGAATGTACGGCTCATTAACTTTTTTGCCACGCAGAAATTTCGCAGTTTTTGATGGCTGTTATTTCCTTCAATATTGCTTGCAAAGAGCTGAAAATTGCACAAATTGCTCAACTTAATCAGCTCTTTCAACTTTTGCATTTAATTCATATATACGGCCACGGCTTCTATGAGTTAAGCCGTATGCTAATGAGGAAAAAGTGTAAACAATAACGTCAGCAAAGATTCGCCTATAGCATCAGTCCTCAACTACAAAAGCAAGTGTCTTACTGTAAGTGAAATACGAAATCCTTTTTTAAATAATTCATAACGCTCACTTGTTGAAAAGTTTTGAAAATCCAAGCTTTAGACAACCCGTTCTGTTGTCTTCACCTTGGCAGCAGAGCCCTTCTTTACCCTTAGTGGGGGGGCTTAACTTTAGACCCCCCCCCCACCCGTATCTCAAGGTCTGGATCCGGCGTAGTTCATGAAAGACTCTGCATGAGATCTTTGTTGAGCATGCGCGGCAAGTCGCTAAGATATGGTTTCGAACTCAGGCGTAAAAGCCGTGTGCTTGTCACATTGGGCTCGGTAATGACCATCGTTTAAACAATAAACGGATGCTCGCACTCGGCAAAAACAAAAAAAAAACAGTTTGCCGAGAGAGAATAAGATTGACCAGTCCAGAAATATGGGCTGCGGTCAGTGTCCTCAAAGGTTTGACGCGATCCAGGCGGAACGTCCTTTTCACCTCCTAACTCAAGAAAAAAGCAAAAGGATCTCTGCTCGCGGGGTGTGTTGTCTTTAGAGGTAATAAAACAAGTGAAATCGTGAAGAAAACTAATTACGTGAAAAGTGGAAAGATATTTAGTGAAGCAATTTTGCGAAAAAAAAATGTAAAAATTGAACTTTAGAGTAGGGCTTAGGTGAATTATTTTCTCAATCAACGGATCTTTCTATGTGCCAGGAATCAAGTGTTGATGTGAAAATTCCGTTTTTCTATTATTTTTGCATTGTTAAAGTCAATGGTTTGTTCCTCTGACAAAATAGATTCGCCTGGGCTTGGAAGAGTCTCTGCACTACAGGATACTCTCCAATTCCTCTTTTGACGTCTGTGTGTGTAGCAGTGAAGCCAAGTCTGTGCGCTTTAGTATCATTCCGAAGAAACTGGGACAGATGCCTCTTAAGGTGGTGGCCAAGGATGTGGCCACATCAGCCTGTGAAGTTGGCGCACAGCAGATGACTCTGGGTGTTACTGATGCTGTCATAAGGAAGCTGCTTGTGGAGGTATGGTGGATTCACAGTCATGGACATGTGTTAACGTAAACTTCCGCTCATAAGTTCCCCCTCCCACCCTCACTTATAAGCTTCCCAGGGCTGGGCTAATCTACCTGTAAAGGAAAAAAATTCATCCGATTATAAGTCCCCCGCCCCCGGATATATGCTCCCTCTAGCTTGTCTTGGAATGAATTGATTTATTATGACGTTTTAAAGCTTAATTAAACACCAGTAAATGCAAAACGTATTTTGATCAGCGCTGCTATAGCTTGTTTCGAAGCGCTCTTTCTATTCCGTTCATAAGCCGTCCTGAAACCTCTTACGAGGATGTATAAGCCCAGGGCTTATAACCGGCAGTTTGCTGTATGTTAGCCGGTAGAGCAGACGTTTTTTACGAACGCTTGTTTAAAATTCGAACGCGTTAGGCCGCCGTTTTGGGTGCAGGAAAAGATGGACTAGGGGAGGAGGGGCAGGGAAGGCATTAATTGGCAGGTATCATTCAATATCCAATCAACTGCACCAATCAGAGCCGCCGTTCATCTAGTGCAGGGTTTCACAAACGCTGGCTGCGTGCAGGCATATTTTGCGCTCTCTTCTCCCTCTCACTCGGCTATTTAAAGCCCGTCGTCCTCGTCTTTGCAATCATTCTTTGACTCATTAATCCATCTCATCCATCCGTCAGTTTTATCATCCAAGATGGCGGAATGTAGTTGAAGGATCACTCATCGCTCGTCCAGCCAAATACGCCTGCTCTGTTGTATTGTACAAAAAAAGAATACAGTAAAAGACTAACATCGTTAACCCTTAAGCCCCAAGAGTGACCAAAGTCAATTTTCTCTAAACAATGTCAATACATAATCTAGAGAAAATGTTGTGAGAATTAATGGAACGATCACCTGATGGGAAAAGCTTTGATCGGCAAACAAATTCTCTCAACTAATTCTTTAAGCAAATGTATGGAGATCAGTTTGGAGAATTTGTATGTGGATATTGGGGCTTATAGGGTTTATAATCGACCATAGACCTTTTCCTTCCAGAGTCAATTTTTGTAAAAACCCACATTTAAGAACCACAATTTTTCGAAATCTGGCCACACAGTTCTTACAATTTGGGGTTGTTCAAATAGGTTGATAAGTTTCTTAAGGGAAGATTAATCATTGTTGCCCTTTAACTGCAGTGTTATTAAAAAATTACACTGATCAGAACTAAACATAACAGATCTTAACTCCTAGCTGAGATTATTCTATACGAGCGCTCGAAAAGCTCATGCCTCACAAAGATTTCTGAGCTAGGAATACGCTGTGGTATTTCCAGAGACTTCTAATGGGAGAAAGCAATTTCGAAATTTGTATTTTATTTTTTTGATATTTACTTATTAGTTTAAAACGTTTTAACTTTTTGTAACGTACTTTTTGAACTGAGAGATGTAAGAAAGCGCTAATTGACCGGCCTCGTGGAAACGATGAGTTTTACCTCGAAACCGCACTCACTGTTTCCCTTATGGCTGTTCATAAAGTGATAAATGTCAGATTCAGGTTGATAACTTTTCAAATTAGGAAATGAGCTGGCAAGGATTATCTAAAATAATTCTAGTAAATGAAAATGGCTTGAAAATACCTATTTATGTGTAGATACGAAGCTCAAGCAACAAACATTGAGATTCGAGGGAAACAAAATTAACTGTTTCTCGGGGATCAGTCTTTAACAGATTTGTTATATAGCTGGAAATTTTGAAGCTGGAATTCATTAGAACTCGCTGTAAACGGCAGTTGTCGGTCAACATTCGCGGGTAGCAGTGCACTGACGTCATAGATTTTGCAATGTTCCCCGCTCAGAGATTTTGGCCGGAAACATTTGCATTGTTAGATGTCATGTGACGTGCGCTGTTGGGAAAAAAGTTCCAGCCAAAGAACAATTCCGTTTGTTGACGGGATGTGTTTTTTTTTTCTTTAGCCTGAAGGAGTTCGTCAGGAGTACACCTATAACAGCTTTGTATGCCTCAAAGGTACTTTAGCTACCTTGCTTGAGTTTAAACTGTTTCGATTGAGGTTTTTTTTAATTATCTTACAATTTAAATAGAGCAAAGGAGGCCTTTCACCCTGAGACTCAAGCCGGTTGTTTTGTCTGTCTAACTTTAAAATCTATCGACAAAATTCATCCGTCTTAACATTCACATGAAACCTCTTCAGCAGTACTTTCACATGGTACTATTTATTTGGTATATAGTTCTAACTTTTGAGTCTGTGGATGAAATCCCATCGTGTTACCATTCAAATGAAACCTCTGGTAGAATTTTTGCAGAGTACTATTTTGTTCATGTATTTTTGTACATTGGTTACTATTTGGAGTGAAAAGGTTATCAACTCTTTCTAAAAACCTCTAAGTAAGTGATTTTGTACGCGATTAAACGCATTTATTCTTTATTCTTTACTCATAAGTTTTCTTCTCTATTTTTGTTTAATTTCCTGTAGATGAATCTTATTTTAATGACACCATTAAGATTGCATTGCCCAGCAATGCGGTTGCTGGTTCGGTGTATGCAGTTGTTTCTACCGTCGGTGAGTACCGTCTTTGCACAACTCATTACTAATAACTTGACCGTTTTCTTAATGTGATGTATTTTGCTTTGAAAATGCTTCTTATCCACCCACGTTCACTATTTTGTAGGCACGTCTTTGATAGTTGCAACCTCTTTTGTTTACACCTGACACAGACTTGACCACCTAGCTTCAATCCCGACACCCATGAACCCCACTACCGGTTTTACCCTCTGTTTTGTTAAACAGCAATCTGGAGCCCTTACCATTTGTTTGGAAAACCCGAAAATTCCGGGGAGAAATTTGGAAATTCCCGTTGGAAATTTTCCGGAAAAAAGTAATACCTTTCGAGGTATTACCTTTTTCCCGTTCTTACCGAAACGACCAAAATTTTCTGTACCATTTGTTTGGGTTACCAGTGCCAGGCTTCATCTCGAGAGAAGGTGAAAAATTTACCGGTATTTTGTTAATGGTACAACTCAATCCCGTTCCTGTTTTCGGTGCCCAAAAAAAACACCAGTACCATTTGACAGAAATCTTTCACCGAAATTGCCGTACAAATGGTAAGTGCTCCTGGTTTCTTTCCTTTCCGAAAGTGATAAGGCCAACAGCTTTAGGTCACTGTGTTATGACGCGATCATCTTACTGAGACGAAGTTTTTAAAGGGATAGGTCGCAGTCTTTTCTTTTTACTCTTTGAAAATGATTCCCGAGCATTATAAATCAGATTCGAGTTTTATCTGTTCGACAGGTGATCTTATGGGACCAACTTTGAATGTGGAAGGTCTGCTAAGACTTCCATATGGCTGCGGCGAACAAAACATGGTGAACTTTGCACCAAGCATTTACATTATGAAGTACTTGTCAACAGTGGGACAACTTACTCGTTCAGTTGAAAACAAAGCCAAGAACATCATGACGATAGGTACCATCAACACCTTTTGTAATAATCGTAATCATAGGCTGTGCAGACGGGGGTTTGGACCGCCAGGAGGGGGTGCCAAAGTTTGCGAGCTTGATGGGTTTAACATTTTCCAGTTCCCCTAGGTGTGGAGCTCCTTTCACGCACACTTTCTCTGTGCGCAAGCCTTTTTTACTGTGAGTGGTATTATAAACGTGCATAGATTAAACTGGAAAACAGACACACCTTTAGCATTTGCGAATTTTATAAGCCACCATAAAAAAAATATCAAAAAGATGGGATCTCAATCTTTCCTTATTGGACCGCCCTGCAAAAAAAATGCCTTTATCTTATTAAACATTTCCAATCTACACTGGAGGTTTTTGGTACCATTTGTGTGTACAAAAACCTAATACTGAAAAGAAAGCTGTGGGTCCTTGAGAAGAAGGAAAAACTCGCCACTCCTACACTCCAAACTGCAATAAGAATGGGTACAAGGTTTCCGCGCGGCGACGTCTAGGATATTTTGATTGGAAAAGCCCTAGTTAAGAATGGGTACACGTTCTCGGCGCAACGACGTTTGAGATGGTTTTACTGGACAAGTTTAGTTATGATTGGTGAATAGTATCCAAATTCAACAATAAACCAGTTGTTGCACATATTGTCCACCCAACCGATCCCAGAAAACTTTACGCTGAAGACTGGTACCCATTTCCCTTACAGTTTGTAGTGTGACGTAACAGCGTTTGGAGGATGTTTTTTCTCTGATTTTCCTGACCCAATGGATTATTTGCTCTCCAACTTGACGCATTTTTACCAGCTACAAAAGGCTCATTAAAAGTTATTTTCAAGCCCCTGCCTCGATGGGCAATACGCATTTCCAGTAACCAACAAAAGGAAGTCCCGCTCTTAGGGGTGATTGTGACAAACCACCTACATCTCCCTCCCTCCCCTAATTCCACGTTTTAGGGCAAAGTGTTGGGTTAGGGGACGGGTGGGTGAGAATCTTATGCTGATCCCAAAACGTTTGGTTGTTCATCATTGGTATTAGGATACCAGAGAGAGTTGACGTACAAGCGTTCGGATGGATCATACAGTGCCTTTGGAAACAGAGATAGCGAAGGAAATACATGGTAAGTGATTATTAAAAAGTAGCTCGTATTTGAAGTGTAGTGAGGACACAGGTAACCCAGGCTCTGTGATGGTACCATAGTACGAATCCTGTAAAATTACAGTGTTTGTATCGGGCAAAGTTACGATCCTAAAATTTGTAGGGAACTTTTCGGAGGCTAGCAGTCGGCTATTAAAAAACGAGTTCGTCGTGTTTTACTCTGTTCATCCGAGAGACAAATACAGAGGAGGACTCGAATCGGATCCAGTACGTTTAACAAATTGACAACAATTTTCCGTGGACTATAGTCTTATCGACCATAGAAATGACTTCAAAATGTTCATCACACTGAAGTGGTTTCACTGCAAAGTTTTAAACATTTTGATGGCTTTTCTGTGGTCAATAATAGTGAAGACTATGGAAATTGTTACCGACTTGTTTTTTTACAATAACTTTTTTATTGAAGTTTCTCGGTAAATCGCGCACGCGAGAAAGAGAAACTGCGCGCCGTGCCTCCATCATCTTTTTCACTCATGGTCTGTGCTCTCATCGATTATTTTCGACCAATCAGCGCGGGAGAAATCGTTCACTGAGTTGTTTGAAATAGCCATTCGATCACCCTTTTTTGTCTTTGCCAGAATATTGATGGTGTCTTTCTTTCCTCATAGGTTAACAGCCTTTGTGCTGCGCTCATTCGCTCAAGCGCGTCCATTTATCTTTGTTGATGGAGACGAACTTAAACACACCCAAAACTGGATCACGAGGAATCAAAACCCACAAAGTGGATGCTTCAGAAAATCTGGAAGTCTTTTTAACAAGCGTCTCAAGGTTTGTGTCATTCCTAAATTTCCTGCTTTCTTTCATTTTATGTGTTGTAAATGTTCGATAACTCTTGCGAATCTTACCCTTCCTCGTTTCAGGGTGGTGTTTCAGATGAAGCAACGCTTACTGCATTTGTCACAGTGTCCCTTCTGGAATCCGGGATGTCTCCTGAGGTATTACTTACTTCATGCGCAATTCGCTCTCTCCGATTAGTTATAGAATTTTGTGTACAGCCACTGCGGAAGTGTTGAGTAGACGTCAGTTGGAAAGTACTCGAACCACTGTTTAAATCATCGATCATGCTTGTAAACAGCCAACGTGTTCCACACTCCCATTTTGTTTGAAATTTTTGTTTCTTTGCCCATGGAAAGCCCCTTACATGTGAGGGGAATGAGGAAGTTATGAATTTTTTATTGTTTTTTACGCCTGCTTGTATTGGGATTTGGAGGAACAAGAATGGTTTACTATGGAGACAATACCCCGAGGAGCTTCATGCTACAGAAACCCCGGGTTAATCTCCGGATGCGTCGGCTTTATCAAATACCTCTGGCAGGGGGGTGGGGGTAACTCGGTGGCAACGGGCTAGTATCCCATAGAGGGCAAAGTAACAATACCCGGCCTAGGTGCTTCATGCTACAGAAGTCGGGGATAAGCTCCAGATTAATGGCCACTTGACTCGTATGAAAACTCTAACTTTACCTGCTCACGTTGTCATGGTAGCAAAATTTCTGGATCTCAACAATAGGAACCTTACTAAACTATGACTGCGACGGCAACGGGAACGTCAAAAACGCGATAAGGTTAATGATCAAAATAACGACTCTGCACGTGATCACGCTTTTTTTGTACATTTCTTTGCAGTCCCGGAATAACTACGACGTGAAATGACGAAATTTTCTGGTTTTTTGAGGACGGAAACGGCAAGGCGATAAATTCTACCATCTCTGCCTGAACTCGGGTGCGGCCCCTCTCTTCAGCTCCACCATAAATTCCCTTGTTTTAAGTAACTGGGCGACTTAGGATAATCGCGAAATGGTTTGAAAGGATGCGGAGTCTATTTTTCAGCGACGTTTTTATGGACGTCGCCTTTGTCGGATCGTAAGGTCCTTAATCTTTCTTGACAGAGACGGCTATTTGCACTGTCGAAAGATGGAAGAAAAGTATGTGTTACTGTTTTGTAGGCTAAGAGGCGAGGGCTTGAATTTGGAATTAAAATTACCTAACTTTAATCGTAAATTTAAGAAGAATTCTTTCACTTATTCATTAACTAAGTTATGGAACAGTTTGCCTTCTCAAGTGCGTCTTTCAAGTGATGCTAATGACTTCAGAAGTAGATTGCACGACTGCAGCTTTTTAGAACGTGTCTTATAGTGCACGATTGTAGCTTTCAACTGTTTTTAGAACGAGTATTATAGTTTTCCTTGTCACGTTTTCAGTATGTGGCTTTTTAGTCGGTCTTAGCTTTTTATATTTTATGTTTTTAATACCAAGTTTTTTATATGTATCTATTAATTGAGTTGTTTTTAAAATTGAATAATATTATGTAGTTGTAATTATTATAGATTGATTGATTGATTGATTGTTCCTGAGAGCAATCATGCACAGGAAAGTCTTAAATGTCAATTTTTTTTCGTTTTTTTTTTTTCTGCCAAATTTGCAGGACCACGGTTTGTTGAGACCCAGATATTTTGCTATCACCATGGCGACGTGACGTAACCACTTCTCCTCTCTATAAAAAGGGAGATTTATAGCTTTGTCGGATCATTTTACGTTTCGGGGAAACTGCCCACCTACCCCTCCTCTAAGCTAACATTAACACTTACTTCTCACTTAGGGCAAAATGTTAGCTTAGGGGAGGGTAGGTGGGTAGTTTCCCAGAAACGTAAAATGATCCGCTTTGTCAACGTAAACTAATTTTTTTCACGTTTGAATTTTCAGAGCAACGTTATCCAAGGTGCACTTATTTGCTTGCGGGATGCATCTTCCAGTGTCACTGATTCATATTCGTTGGCCTTGTTTGCATACACCTTCACCCTGGCCAAGGATCCCACTGCCACCAGTTTATTCAAGGCGCTTCAAAGCAAAGCCATCGTTGAAGGTCAGTGTGGTCCATCTATTGAAGGTTACCTTTTTTGACGTTTTGCACACCAAAAGTAGCAAATTGAATGGCATTTTGACTTTTGGGTAGTTAAATGGCAAGTATCCTACTCATATCAGGCTTCATGGTCCTACGTTTAATCCTCTTGTACAAAGTAAAGTTTAAACTTCTACCACAGAGAATCTATGACATAATTATTTACACTAAGCACCTCACTCTATAATATTAGAAACGCTGACTTTATTCTCCCTCAATTTTGCTCGAAACTCGCTACTCAAAGTCAATCGGGCATTTAATTATCTTCTCTTGATTCACTTAATTCTTTGCTAGCATCCAAGATTTTTTCCTTTCTCAGTTGCTATGAAAGAAAACCTAACTTCGGAGACTGTAGTTTCTGGACTTTTTATGATTCCGTCATTATCAAGTGGAATTGGAGCCTGGGAATGAGTTACATACGTCTTAACAGAAGTAATTCTACTGGAATTTGAAGTCAATTTTCAACTGTTTCTGTATTTTTCTAATTAAAAATGTGCTTGTCCCCCTAACAAGTCATGTCAAAGGATTACATGTCTAAACTATTTTTGTACCTGTCCCGGACAATCGGTTTTGGCGCACCCTGCGACGTCAATGTCAGAACAGAATTAAAATGTAAATGTTGTGTTGTTAATTTATACAGATGGGCTGATGCATTGGGAAAAAGAAAAAGTGGCCCCACCCACCCCTCCCAGTGACGAGTTTGTCTGGTGGTTTCCTTATTATCGTGCTCCAGCCGCCGATATCGAGATGACAGCTTACGCTTTGATGACGTACATCTTACAGGCTAAGGAAGATTCGTCGTTGATTGGTCAAGCCATGCCCATCGTCAGGTGGCTGACTAAACAAAGGAATGCTCTGGGAGGATTTGCATCCACACAGGTTAGTAGAGTACACAGAGCCCGTACTCTGTTTGAAGGACGCTTTGATTTCTATGTTCATGGTTTGGTATAAACATACGGTATGCGATGGAGTTGCCAAGTTAAATGATGAGGTTGTTCACGTCATTTATCGTTATAGGACACGTGTGTTGCGTTGCAAGCCCTGAGTAAGTATGCCAAAGAAGTGTATTCTAACACTACATCACTTTCTGTTCGGTTTGGAGAGCAAGGTGACCAGAAGTTCAGTGCCGAGTTTAACATCACTGAAGACAACAGAATGGTGTCACAGAGAGCTGAGGTAGGCTGTGTAGGATGGTGCTAATTTTCCCTTAACTGCGGTTGATTAAGACATCATGTTTGTGTTCACAGGTGTTAACAGTGATCACATCCACACACAATTTGTCATTATCGTACTTAAGATTAAAAGCTCTTCATATTCCGTTTTCTAGAAGAAAGAAATTTCACCGCGATTTCTTGTATTGACAGCTTTTAGCATCTGCTTGCCCCTTGAGAAACCACTTGACCTTGCTTTTTCCCATCGGTCGTAAGGCGCGTACAGAGATGGGCGTGGGTACTCAGCCCGCCTTGCTCATTCACCGTTATTGTTAGAAATATGTCCCGGATTACCAGTTCCTCAAGGTCATTGTTCAAATGTGTACAAGTGTGGTAACATGTTGATCTAATTATCCATTTCTCAGGTTCCTTCGAGCATTCTACCCATCAAGAAACTGCCATTACAAGTGCAGGGAGAGGGCTGTGCTCTAATGCAGGTTTGTTGCTCCATCCCTTTAATTTTTCTTTTTCCTCGTTCACTTCCTTTTTACTTTTCCCGTTTCTCTGATGATGTTGTGGACTGTAGGTAAAACCCGCGGGGAATAGCTTGAAAGATTATGGTTAAGTTGGCTGACGTGTTTTGCAGCCACCTTTAATGTGTGACGGCGACCACTCTATAGAGGTCACGCTATAAGTTATTGAGGGAACCCTTTTTTTTCGGCGAATTGACAAGCGACTGCTTAATACATCTGTTAAACTTAAATCAAAGCAAATAACGAGTTCCGCAAAAAAACAGGCAGAAAACTACGATATTGGCTAGATTATTTTTGGGCTTAAAATAAAATGTGCTTACTTCGCTTTCTGTCCAGGCGGATGTGTCGTACAATATTCCAGACGTTAAAGAAGAGCCAGCGTTCGACTTGAAAGTAAAACTCAAACTTTCTGAAGATTTAGTGGATCCTCTTGCAACAGAGACGGGAGAGTTTCTGTGTATGCCTTTGGAAATGTCCATCTCAGCCAAGTAAGATCCATTTTGTTTACATTTTCAGTTTTTTGCTTTTTGTTCATTAGAGAGATAGATTCACGCTTTCGGCAAACGGCAAACTTCGATAGGTCGTTTCTGAGTTTCCCAAGCCTCTATTTCATAACGAGGCTACGTGCATTTTATATTCTCATGCAAATGAAGCTGGTTATCACAAGAAAGGTTTTTCACTTAACCTCGATTTGAAAGTGATGGTTTTTTGAAATTCTGAAATGGCCAGTTGAAACATTTTGCAGAGTTTTTATCTGTTCATATTCATGTACTGAAAAAAATTGTCAAAGTGAATCAGTTTTGCGCCATCTGCCATCGTAACTTCTAAATCTGTCTGTCTGTTGTATATACCTCCAGTTGTAATTTTAGTCTATTTTCAAAAAACAAAATCCCTGTACTTGAATTTATATGTAAGGTGTTTCTTTCTGTATGTTATTGTATTTCTTTTCTTTTCCTTTTTTTCATGTAATTTAATATCGCCTTAATGTAAAGTTTTGTCCTTCCTAGATTAGCATTATATCTATTTGCGGGGCATAAAGTATTGTAAACTTTATAGTTCTGTAAATAAATACATTGTTGTTGTAGTAGTTGTTGTTTGTTGCCTTGGATTGCCACGACAAATCTTATCAAGAAACCTTCCAAGTTTTTTATTTGGTTTGGTGTCTGCTAATTTAGGTGGCTGAAGGAAGACTCGTCTAACATGGCGGTTATTGACGTTAAACTCGTGTCAGGGTATCAAGTGGACGAAGAGAGCTTGGATAGGGTAAGTGTTTGGTGAATGATATTCCAGTAATCGGAGACCTATGTTATGCGCACGGGATTCTGGGATTGCCGGGGGCCAAACATTGCCACTCGGTAGGAAGAAATGTGTGGCGTAAAGGCGGTTTTTAGTGTCCACGAACAAAGAATAACGCATTTGCGATGTGATTTTTTAAGAAGCGGAGGTTGTCTAATCTTGGCGCGTTGAAATTGTAAGTTCGTTAATACGGACACTTTCTGTGGCCCCTTCAGTGTCCGTATTAACCCTTCAAACCCTAAGATCAAAATTTGAATTCTCATTTGTTGCTTCTATTCATTTCCACCAAAGTAGTGGGGAGAAGTTGATAAAATATTTAGCCAATTCATCTTGTGTGATCGTGTCCTTAATTCTCATAATCACTCTCTTTTACAAAGAAATTAGATTACAAGGAGAAATTTGATGCTGATCAGTCTTAGGGCTTAAAGGGTTAACGGGCTTTGGCTGTACATGTTTTCTTCTAGTTGATGAACCACGCTAAACTTGGAATGAAACGATACGAAATTGAGGGCCAACACGTGATTCTGTACTTTGATGAGATTGACAAGGTGTCGTTCGCGTTCAAGATTTATCAATCAACCCTTGTGGCAAAAACCAAACCAGCCTCGGTCACCGTCTATGACTATTACGAGACTCGTAAGTACACTGTAGATAGGCTTCTGCAAAGCTAATAGGAAGATACAGTAAAAGCGCGCGTGTAAGAACCTACAGTTTTTAAAGTCTGGCAAAAAAGGTTTGTGTTTTGGGATAGTTATTGGTAGTTTAGTCTAGGTAGGTTTTTAATTAGCTAACTAATTTCTATGAAGGAAATATAGTTGTCGAGTACTAGAAAAAGAAATATAATTGGGCTTGGTTCTTATATATACAGTATTTTATATTACGATGAACCTAACTAAAATGATATATGGGATTATCTCTATAACAGGAGTTGTCAAATAAAAAACAAATAAAATAAATAATATAGTAAATAAATAAATCGTTTCCTGTAATAAAAACTTGCAATCTCGAAGTCAAACGTCTTGCTCATAATTTTACTGTATTTTACTTGTAAGAAACTGCTTGATCCTTCTTATTCTTATATTTTTTGGATATTAAGGTGGCAAATTTCTGGCAGCAGCTTCTTAAACCACTAGTCGGTTCTTACATGAGAGATTTAACTGTATCCAGAGAATTTTAGCGGTGAACTGTTAGAAGTTTTTTTGTGACCGGGGATGGTGCAATTACCAGATGAACTGTCCCACAAAACAAAACAAAACTCGATCACCCACAATATTACGAGAGGTCATGACTTGCTCCGCAACAACAAGAAATACCCCCCTCGATCCTCCACCCCCCACCACCACGACCTTCACCACCACCCCACAGTGGCATCTGTCAAATTAATTCAAGTCTCAGAAACCCTCTTTTTTTTCTATTAGCAATCCACTCTCGCTTTTGTGATACATAGCAAAAGGTGCGAGTTGATGGAGCTGGGGACGAGGGGCTTGAATAATTAATTACCTAATGAATAATGTTGATAAAGAGGGTGATATCTGAACAGGCAACTCACAGTCGATAGAAACAGAGATTTTGGCAACAAATTAAAACCAAGGCATCATATAGAATTCCTTTTATTGCTTACTTCCATATAAGTGAAAGGTGTCGATTGACGTCATCTGACCTGACATCTCCATCTTCTTCAACCGTAAGTAGAAATTCATTTCTGAATTGTGCTTTTTGTTATGTTTTAACAGATCTTTCTGCAACGGTCATGTACAAAATTACCGAGGACATGTGCTCACCGGATTTCGTCCCAATCGGTTAGTTTCTTCATTGTAATAAATTTGAAATAACATGCGCGTCATCTTGCGTGGGGAAGTGAGAGTATACGTTCTTAGGAACTCGTTTCTCAGGCGTTTCTTCCCCATAGTCATGGAAAGCGAACCGGTGACGAAGCCATAAGCACGTCTGTGTGAGAGGCTAGTTAAGGGTAGGGAGAGAAAGGACCTCTTTTGCTACTTTCCCTGTCCACTCCCAACATTATATTGTCACAAGAGTAGTAGAATGTCCCGTAAGCTTGTCTCCTACGCTTTGCGACGTCACGAGGAACGTTGCGTGACGACACAAAGAAAGGCTGCGAGCACGCTCTTCCGGGGCCCTCTGGTGCACTGACCCCCATACCCCCGTATGGCACTGCTCGTAACATTATTTGGGAGCTAACCGTTTATTACAATGTGCTTTGTCCCAATGGCTGCATTTCGTTGCCAAGCCCTATGCTGACTTAACTCTTTTCTCTTTTTAGATCAGCCCTGACATCACAGGCGAGCAGATATGCCTTGTTTATATAATGCCGACAGCTGCGTATACGTCCCTACCATGATTTATGTCGACTAATGAAAATTTATTTTTTATCTTTGCCAATTTTAATTGTTCTCACGTGATTTTTAGATTCAGAGTTCATTTACGGCTTAAAATGGCTAAAGAAAATTATTGAAAACGAATAGTACAATGAAGTAGCTCAATCACTGTCAAACTAAGAAAACCGTGAACACCTGAAAAATTTCAGGGATGTTGATTGTGTACTGGCCAATCACAATAAAGTTCAGGATACGCAAGCAAACCTCAAAACCACAAACTAATTACCGTTGCTGTTTGTGGTTTAGTTATCTCGCGCCTTATTGGCTTATTTCTCGCAACACAATAACATTCTATAAATATTTCTGGTGTTCACAGTTTTGTGAGTTTCACAGTAAAAGCGTCAACTTTTTAAAGGAGTTTTGTGTGATACCAAAGATTGAATTTATCTATGTGTAGTCGCAAAGCAAATTAAAACCACTCAATGCTTTCTAATGTACACGTTTTGTTTGTTTGTCTGTTTTGTTCTGATTCTTCCGACTCAGATTCCGTTGCGATTATAATTCCGCTTACTACTCCGAATATTGATTTTCACAAGGTCATAAGCGCTCTCACAACTCCGACTCCGTCGCTATTGAAACCACCCTTAAGCTCCCTAATACAACCAAACTCCAACCTCAGGGACCGTGGATAACATTTTAAAGAGGTGGGGCTGAGAAATCTGGCCGAGACTCTTATGTATAACCTCAACAAATACAATAATTTCATGACGTTTATATACAGCATAAAAGTGGTTTATAACATCGCTTTTCTGGTTTTCTCTGTTAAGCATCGAATTATTTTCATTTTAAGGCTAAACTGAAAAACAAATGTTTCTCCTCCGGATTTCTGAAAAAAGGCGGGTGCCTTTTTTTTCGTTATTTCCGTCGTTTTTATTATTGCCATTTAAATGCTTTATTTAGAACTTTTTACCTTCTTCCAGGGATACGTTGGAGTCCATCATTAATAAATGAAAAGTCAGATATTGATAACACATAAATTTGTTCCTTTTAATACATGTTTTGACCCTTCCGCCCCTTAAACGCACAAAACCGCCCATACGGATCCACGTCCCTTCTACCGAATGTGACGTCATCAGTTTTAACGGTCAAGGACAGCTTTGTCTGCTAACTTGTGCAGGGTGAAGAGATGTTTCAAACTACACCAGAATGAGCACGATTCAGTCAAGGAGACCGGAGAAAAAGGAAAAACACAATGTGACATTGACCTGACAATTTCAACGAAATCTAGTTCCACCATCCTTGCTTTTATCTGATCCTAAGATCTTAAAAAACTTTCCCAAAAACTTTTCCCACCAAAATGAAGCCTACTTAATGTCCAGCAAAAATGAGGCAAGAAACGCGAAAGAAGAGGGAAGGAGAGAAGACGTCAAGGCGAAAAGTAAAAGTCAAGACTGCTGTGTCACATTGCTTTCTGCGCATGCCCGAACTTCGCAAGCTAATATTTTGCATCTGTATCAGAAGGCTGCAAGTGTACGAGTAGCAAACGGTTAAATGGTAAGTTTTGTGAATCAATAATAATAATATATTGATATTAACAGAATCGGGGTCGGAAGCGGAATCATGAATCACGAATCAAGGTTACAAAACTTGTAGGAATCATGAATCTTTGTTTTTAAAACTGGGGAATCATGAATCTTTGTACTTCGGCTCGGGAGTAATGAATAACGAGTCTCTGAGAAAAGCGCACAAAATATACGTATGAATTAATTGCGTTCGATCCAGGGAATGCAGGATACGGCGTTTCCGAGAGTGCAATTTTCAATTTGTTTTCCAGTGGAGCATGCCCCCGGACCCCCTATATAATTCGTGTATTCGGGGCTGATAGTCCGCTTGTTTCTCCAGTGACACTAGTGGTTAATGTTTAGTAACAAAAAACACCATGTCTGGACAGAACAAATGATGATAAAGAGAAACAGTGGCCAAGAAATCTATATAATTCTGGACGAAAACAGAAGTTTGAACACTCCAAAAAAACTATGCAAAACGAGACAAAATAGCCTGTGAGAAATTCATTCACTGAATAGGTCATAAAAAGTCGTCGTGAATCATGAATCTGGAAGAAAATTCTTGTAGGAACCATGAATCATTGAGGTAAAAACGACAGGAATCATGAATATCAAGATTCAAATGATTCCGCTTCTACCCCCGATAACAGAAGAGCGGGCCATTTTTTCACGCCCGTTCCAACTGTGAAACAACTTACCGAAACGAAAACTAATGTATTTATGCATTATATTTTCTTACCAATAATCACCTTTATTTTCATTATATATTCCTTAATCTGGGGACAGATTTATTGTAATTGGCAATACATGATCTTGTTTTCATTTTTTGGGGCTTGTTCTGATCGTGCAAAATAAGCAATGGAACGGTCAGTATAAAACACGGACTGCGGCCCTTGGACCACGGAATGCAGACTGGGTATAAAACACGGACTAGATATAAAATGCGGTGTACGGATTACGTTGGCAAAAACTGTGCTTATTGGTTCTAGGTAAGGTAAAATAAGATCAAAAGATCGTTAAATAGCACAACACTTAAGTTTCGATCAAAACCGACAACCGCATAAAACCATCAAAATCGAAGTTTTACACAGCTCAATTTTCACAAAACCCTTGTCTAGATCTCAAACGCCGGTGATATGTAGAACACTCTGACTAAACAAGAACCACATCATCATTCTAGATGTTAATATCATCACAGTATCAGCACTATATATGGATGCTATGGTCGTAAAACCGGCATCTTTGGCCTAGGACCCTCTGAGAGAATTCACAAAGATCCTCGATTAAATAGCAATAGAGGACACTGGGGGAAATTTTGCATCCGCAAAAAGCTCTCCAGTGTAATAGACCTCCATCAAAATCCAGAATCCCACATTGCAGTTTGACCTGGATTGACTGTAAAAAAGAAACATTTCAATTTGTAAGGAAGTCAAAGACAGACCTGCACGGACTCCCAATGTGGTTTTTGTGGACATCAAAACCAACTACAAGCCGACTGAAACGTTTCAATATACTGACACTTTACCTCGTTCCACCCTCCCGGGGTAAAAATAGGATTCATTATTAAAGAGGCGAAGAAAGAAGATTGCTTAGAACAAACTCTTAAAAAACACATTTGAAGAGTGCCTTGCGAACTTTAAACAACGCCTCCAAACCCGCGGGTATCCTTAACAAGATACAGAAAGCTCCTTGTCAGAGGTCAACTTTGACTTAAGACAGTCAGCGCTAAAACAAAAGCTAAGAAGTAAAGAGACACTATTGCCTTTCGTTACAACATATGACCCAGAGGTACAAGATCTTAAAAAAATATTGATGGCATAAACTGGAGTCAAAAAGGTGGTTGCAGATAATGCGACACAACCACAAAAACCACATTGGGAGCCCGTGGAAGTCTGTATTTGACAGTTCCTTCTATATTGGAAAAACCAAAACCGAAAATCAGATGCTAAAAGACGGAAAAACGGGAAACCGTAACGGACAACAAAACCGAAAAACCAGGGCGTAAGAAGCTAGGTGTTGAAACGAGCGGGCTCGAGCGATCTAGCAACGGTCTGGGTACTACCAAAGAGACAAAACAAGATGGCGGACATTATACTGCATCGTCAGAGAGATGATTCAGCGGACGTTAGCCATTATCCCGTGGCATACATTCGCTGCAAGAAATAGGGAAGGAACAAATTATTTTTTCTCACGTTCGTTTTCTGTTTTGTTCAATTTTTCCCCTACGAACAAATATCTGTATTGAATATAGTTCCACCTCCGTGACCTGTATTAAATTAATTCATTTGACTCCTACGTGCCTGTTCCCGAGGCCAAAGACTTAGTGGTCACCTTAGAAAAGTGAACAATATCGTACCTTTCTGTGTCAGCCCGGATCAGGATGATTGATCCGTTTAGCCAAATGAAACGAGAATATAATACGATACTAAGTGGCCGTTCACAAGTGACTGAAATAGATTTTAATTTATCAACCATTAATAAGATCTCATGTGGTGTCCCACAAGGCTCTGTTCTTGGTCCTTTGTTATTCCTAATTTATATTAATGATTTTCATAACTCTTCAGCGAAATATTCGTTTTACTTTTTGCAGATGACACAAATTTGTTGTATGCCGACAAAATCTTAAATCTCTTGAAAAAACGGTCAATAACGAACTGGTCAGAGTGTCGGATTGGCTCAATGCAAATAAGCTAACATTAAATGCTAAAAAATCAAACTTTGTTATCTTTCGTCCTCACCAACGTAAGATGGACCATTCGGTCAATATTCTAATGTTTGATTATAGTAATCACATTCTTACTTCCCTTGAGTGTAAGGATCATGTAAAATATCTAGGTGTCTTACTGGATAGTCATCTGAGCTGGAAATACCACATTGACAATGTAGTACTAAAAATAAGTAGAATTATTAGGGTTGTTGCCCGTCTTAGGCACCTCGTCCCTTTTACCACTCTATTAAGTATTTATCGCTCTTTGATAATACCCTGCCTATCCTATGGCTTGGCTGCTTGGGGTCAAGCTGCTAAATCCCATTTACAAAAAATCCCCGTGCTACAAAAACGTTTCC